GTTTCCCTTGCTTGAAAGCCAGTTGAATCCGACTCTAGGGTTGCGGTGCTCATCTCTGTTTCTAAGCCGAAGAGCCAGCGCTGTCTGAAGATGTCCCCGTGGTCATGTGGCCAGCATGACTAGACACCGAGGCGCACAGAACGCTTACCTTCCCTCCAAAGTGGTACCTATTTATCTACTTGCAATGTCTTGCTTTCGAACAGCTAGGTTGGCAGGAGCTGGAACCAGGGATGGGAGCTCACTCTGTCTTGCGGCACTTGGGTCTCGAACTGCTGAACTACTGACCTTCCAGCCTGCAGTTCAGAGTCTTAACAATTATATTGGCCTCCAAATAAGAAAACATGGCATAATTTCATGCTTTGGCTATGGAATAATTAAGCATGCTTTGGAAACGGGGTGGGAGGAAGAAGCAAGTTAGTTGCTTGACCCAAGGCTTAGTGAGAGTAGCAGGCCAGGCAGGAGGGGGGAATGGTTTTTGCTTCTTATTTATTTATTCCAGTGTATAGCCCACCCTTCCCACAAGCGGGTTACATCAATAAATTACAATCAAAATTAAAAGTAAATATTAAAAGATAGTAAAAAGTCCAGTAGCCCCTCCAATACTAACAAACCCTACCGCAGCACAAGCTTTCAAGACATGTTTCAAAAACTGTATGGAAGAAGTCAGCTATGCAAACATAGGGTAACAGAATATGAGTGTATTTTACTGATCCGCTTACACAAAATACAAGGAACAAGGTACAATAGGAAGGACAGGATTGCTAACCTCCAGGTGACGGCTGGAGATCTCCTGGGGTTACTACTGATCTCCAGAAAGTTTTTGAGTTCCCCAGAATTCTTATTCAGTTAGATGTTCATTACCTGTCCCCCCTCCAAAAAGGGTTAAAACAGTTGTTTGGGGATATGAATGTTATAATAAATAAAAATAGTTAAAACATACATCACCTGAAATTTGCAACCACCTTAAGACAGAGTATGGGAGGGGTGTTATGCAGATTTAATCAGAGGTCAATTCGGGGGAATTGCGGGGGATCGCTGTTCCCCCGGGTGAGGTGCGGGGGGTGGGGCACATGATGAAGCCCCGCCCCTGCTTCCGGCGGCCCCGCTTCCGGCCCTCATTCAGCTAGGAGGAGGCAGGAGAAGAGGGAGGGTAA